TATTCTGAAAAAAAAACATCAAAATACATGTATAATTTTAATCATCTACATTGAAAAAGGGGCGCAGTAACAAAAGTCATAATACTTTTGTCATTAATTACATTTTCATAAATTTCATAAGTCATAAATTACAAAAGTCATAACTTTCATTTTCATAGGATACTAATCATACATTTGTCATAATCATATTTTCATATGATTTCTGTTATATTTTCAAATATGTTTACAACACTTGACATGTTATATTTGTATTACAAGATTTGCTATTTGTCCGACTTAGCAAGTTCACTGCTAGTGGCTAGAGACTTTAGATAATCATCCTATGATAAAAGATACTATGAAAAACATTGGACAGACAATTAAGTAAGATTGGACAACTTTCTTATCACTTATTTCTTTATTATTGTAGGTTGGGGCATGTTATAATGGGGGAGGGGGGGGGGTGAGACCTGCGGCTAGTACAAGCAAGGCCTTATATATCTATCTGCCTTATATATTGGCCATCCTTAGTTTTAGTCAGCTTATTAGGGATTTCCATGATATCTTGATAATTCGTAGGGATCTTTGGCATGGGGTTAAACTTCTGCTGTGCACGCCATACCCTGGTTTTGATGGCTCCAGCTGATCGCATTCCATGCAGTCCTTTCAGGAGGAAGGGAGTTGGTCACCTCTGACAGGATACTCCGTGGAGTATTTGATACATTCCCAGTCATTCTTTCCACTACCTGATTCTCTAGCTGTATTGCTTTCTGTTTCTTCTAATTATTCCCATGATCATGTTCAGGAAGAGAGTCACATACCAGGTTTCCATGTTGATTTCCGAGTAACAATCCTTTTGTTGTAGCTTTTATTGGAACATAACCAGTAGTTTACCTTGTTGTTGCTGTTGTTGAGGTAATACATGTATTGTGGTGAGCATCAACAGCTTTGACATTTTTAGATGTTTACTCAAATCTCACGAGACGATCCATGTTCCATGCAATTTCCGAGAAAAGATAGTTTAGCAGATTTGATTAAAAAAATTGGTATTTTCTACTTTCTTAAACATGTTAAAATGGGATAAATTATGAGAAATGTATGATTTGTATGCTTTAAAAAACGTAATTATGACAAATGGACTTTATGACTTGTATTATCTATGACTTTTGTAATTTATGAAAATTGTAATTTATAACAATCGTATTATGACAAATGTAATTATGACAAACACATTATGACTTTTGTTACTGCGTCGAAAAAGGACAGATAATGTTACGCTTTCTCATGAAGTTATTGAATTTATGATTGATCATTCAAACCAACATTTATAATCATATTTCATTTTCTATTTTATAGAAGTTCTTTCAAAGAAGATAAACAGGTTACAGTTATTAAATATGATAGTCAGCTAGAGGTTTGCCAGGTTCAGTCGCAGAATGTTCTCTAGATTTGGAACCGAGTTTTTGCCACAAACTCAAATATTCTAATCCCTAAATCTTTGCACCGAGTGGTGTAAACCTTTCTATTTCAAACTTAGAATATTTTACCAAAATTTGAAATCTACGACATTGGGTTATAATAACTCTTTTGCTTTTATTATTCCTGACTCCTGTGGACTTTGATACTGATATTCGCCAATCTTTGTTTTCATTCTGGAGGTACCCGTAGCTTTCCATTCGTTTTTTATGCAATTTTTTTCAGATTGCTCTATAGCTTCAAAAGTAATAATTACATGATCCGATATTTTTGTTAAAAAGTAAACCTTAGACTAACAGCTTATGATTTAAAAAAATATTCTAAAATCTTTTAATTTTTTCATACTTTATTAATGAATGAAAATGAGATGTGAAAAATCGAAAATTTGAAAAATCCGGGATATCATTTTTCGACTTACGCTCAATGAATTGGTTGTAACAAAGAGGTATACGGCCTAGATGGAAGAAATGTTCAGCATGAAATAACTGAACTATTTATTTAATTATTTATTTCTTAAACCTACACAATTTAAATAATTGGTACAGAGCTTTCTAATGACACCTTGATTGTAAAAATTGAACGAAATCAAAATTGTTTCCTCAGTAACATAATACCCCTACTGCACAGTTTTTTGGGACACCTCGTATACATATAGGAGTTTTCACTCGATCAGCTGATGCATGTAAACAAGCCGATACACATTACACAGTTTGGTTTGAAAACTGCCTGCGTGAGTTACAGTGACTTACACACACCTCTCCTTGGCTTTCTTCCTTATTCTGTGTAATCATTTTAATGTTCAAAGCAGAGAGGGGGCTCCAGCTATAGCTTGATCCTGTGTCATTCAAATTATATAATATATATCCATTGATAAGTATTTTTTAGTATTCAACTGCATCTTTTATTTCATAGGTTCAGTTTGAGTGTCTGTGTATACTAAGGTTCAGATTAAAGGTTCAGGTTACCGTTCATTCTCAAGTTTAGTTAAGATCTAAGACTCCAGGTTTAAATTTAGTTTCAGGGTTAGATTCAGGGGATGGATTAGGTCTAGGTTTTAATGTAATTCTGAACTTCAGAAAAATGTTTAAGTTTATATTCGAGTTTAAGTTTAAGTTCAGGATTATGTTTGTAGTAAATACTGGGTGATTGTAATACATATTGTGTGCCACGATAACTGTAAACCTGAACTATGTTGTACATTATTAATTACCTATGCTGTAAATAACTACGTAACATGATTAGCTTAACTACATTATATCTATCTATATCTAGCTGATAAGATTGTGTCCATTGGTTTGGCATTAATCACTTAAGAGCTCATGTGTCTGTGTTGACATTGATAGATGATAAGATCGTGCTCATTAGTTTGGCATTGATCATTTTAAGAGCTTGTGTCCATTTTGGCATTGATAGCTTGAGAGCTTGTGTCCATGTTGACATTGATAGATGTTATAAATCGTGCCCATTGGTTTGGCATTGATCACTTAAGAGCTTGTGTCCCTGTTGACATTGATAGCTGACGAGTTGCACCTGGATTGAAACAGTTCTGGAAGCAGTTTTACAAGTACGGTTCGGGTTTGGGTTCAGGTTCAGATTGCGGTTTAGTTTAGATTTCAAGTTAAGATTTAGATTTCAGACAATGGTTTAGATTTCAGGTTTAGGTACAGATTACAGGTTTAGGTACAGATTACAGGTTTAGGTACAGATTTCAGGTTTAGGTACAGATTACAGGTTTAGTTTAATTTTTCAGATTAAGTAAAAGTTCAGAGAAAAGTACATGTTAATGTTTGATTCAAGGTTAGGCTAAGGGATTTGTTATACTTAGGTTCAGGATTTGGTGTTGGTTTAGGTTCAGAATTAAAGTTAGAATTTGGTGTTGGTTTAGGTTCAGAATTAGGCTTAGGATTTGGTGTTGGTTTAGGTTTAGAATTAGGCTTAGGATTTGGTGTTGGTTTAGGTTCAGAATTAGGCTTAGGATTTGGTGTTGGTTTAGGTTTAGAATTAGGCTTAGGATTTGGTGTTGGTTTAGGTT